TATATATATATATATATATAGATTATATATATAATATACTTTACAAGCTTTCGTCTAATAACGTTTCTATATTATGGATAGAATCTTGTATATTCTCTTGAATCGTGTATATGTGTATTGTTATCCTACATACAGTCGTATAGTATACCATATCAGTAGCAGTAATATCGGTAGCGGTACCGCCAGAATTAATTGCGTAAAGATAATTCTTTTGCAAAAATATAAAATGTGCTTATTAAGTCGTGTGCTACGTTTGTGCTAGTATAGGATATATTTTGCACTCGCGTATGTCTATTGTGATCCCTGGCGAGATTATTTAATATGCGTAAATCTCGTTGCGGGTTATGTCATTTCAAAGTTTGCCGTACATTCGTTGCTTATCGGAGAGATTTCGAGATTATTTATTAACGCAGCCATGTTTAAAATAATTATGTGTAGTACTTCCGTTACGAAGATAGATGAGTATTACGAAGATGAGTAGCTTATTTAGTAATGTTTATGTATAGTCAGCACAAATAGCTGCGTGAGCATACATCAGACATCACATTACCTCTACTAATCAATCTTATCAACTTTCATGTGACGTTTCCTGTGGCAGTTATACACAATTCTCTGTGTAACGGCCCGTGTAGTGAGCATAATGCACNGATAGATAGATAGATAGATAGATAGATAGATAGATAGATAGATAGATAGATAGATAGATAGATAGATAGATAAATAGATAGATAGATTTTTGGGGGGTATTTTCTTTCAACAAAGTGGTCACCAACTGGGTGCTTTATTTCCCGGACAACGCCGGGTGTCCTGCTAGTAATCTAAGTAATCTAGTAATCTAGTAACTAACCTGCTGCAGTAAGTGGATCCCGGTTTTGCAGACAGCTAGGTTTATCAGTGCTAGAATTCGATATGATTGTGCATCTAGTAATCTAGTAACTAACCTGCTGCAGTAAGTGGATCCCGGTTTTGCAGACAGCTAGGTTTATCAGTGCTAGAATTCGATATGATTGTGCAGGCCCGGTTTTGCAGGCAGGTTTATCAGCGTGGGTTGGGATGCTAGAGTTCTATGAGATTGCCGCACACTCGGCGGATTGGTAGATTGAGCAGATCGGAAGATTGTACGAAACACATAAATTATGTGTATAGACTTGAGTTTGTTTACATCGCGAATGTTCAGAAATGTCACCAATTTTACTGCATCTAGCTATCAAGCGCAGCTTTTTATAACATCTGGTGTATGCACGTTTGCCAACTGTCTGAAGTGTACGTAGTATGGACAAGTACTTTGATTCAACGTAGCCAAAGCACGCTATATCTATCTCGAGAAAATTTCGTGTACTGGGAATCGAGACCCATACGAGAATGGAGCGAGGACCACAATTAGTGCCCGTCAAATACCTATTTAGATCTCATGATTTGACTACCTAACATTCCATGCATTCCATTATGTTCTGAGCATCAAACCTGAGGGGTAATGCTATCCCCCGGGCGTGGAGGGAGGTGACCTCAACGTGGCAGCACTAGTGTTGGGATAGTGTTAGGATTAGGGTTAGGGTCAGGGTTAGGGTTAGGGTTAGGGTTAGGGTTAGGGTTAGGGTTAGGATTAGGGTTAGGGTTAGGGTTAGGGTTAGGATTAGGGTTAGGGTTAGGGTTAGGATTGTGGATCACAATGCCTATATATAGCGCGGCGAGACATATATATTTAGTGTGAGGGTTATTGTTGGCGGTGTTGGAGTGAGGGTTACCGTTAGGGTTAACGTTTTGAACGTCATCGTCAACGTTATCACGTGACCTCCCTCCACGCCCTGGGGATAGCAACACCCCAACCTGAGCAGGTGCGAGGGGCTGCTAATAAACGGACAAACAGGTCTTCTGTCTCGGTAGGTGATTGGTTGCACGTAAACACACAGTAAGCGCGTCAAGCCGGCCAGGCAGGCTCGCTATAGCTTGACATTGACAACCAGAGCACCGTGACAAAAGCACGCGCGTGCGCTCGCAGGGTCGTCGACGTCACGTACGTCTATGTGTGTATACATAATAAACAGTAACCTAGCTATACTGAACCCTGCGAACGCTTGATAGTTTACTTTTATCGAATATACATCGTTGGAATATCCCCTCGGGCCGTATAGAGCGTGAGCTGGACAGGCCTTTACTAACTACTATCTCGCTACTGACGACACCTTTACAAGGTACGTGTCTGTACGTTGTATTGTGACGGTTTTTAGACTTGGCTGATATATCGACATCGCATGTATTGCTCTTTGTATACGGAGGGGGGGGGGCGAACAAAATGTAAGAAAACCGAGCAAAAGGGGCGATAATTTAAAGAGGTACTTTAACGGATGTGGGAAGGTATCTGTATTTTTTTGCAGACGATATTTTCAATAATAATTAGATTGATATCTGAGTGCTTAATTTAGATAAGAACTATATTTGCACCTGCGATTTCTAGCCGAGGATACTGTACCACATCTAAATTATTAACAATTATCGTGTCAAACTTCTAGATTTATCATGTGTGTAAAAAATCTACTATATATACTTCACTGAATCATTGTATATGTGAACTATAAAATCATATACTGTCTTTATGTGATTAAACTAAATACATATAGCATATAATCTCTAATTAAACATTATGTCTTTGTTATTTTTGTAGTCAGCACTCTGACAACTTCTGTGCGATATACCCAGTGTATCATAGAATAACGATTACATAATGAACATACGTTTGTTATCATGCACATACTTCTACACAATAGATAAAGTAGGGTATAGATATGTTTATGTTATTATGTATTTCACGTATAATGTGGGTACAAGTGCATGTGGGGTAAAATGCTCAATCGCGGCTAGTCCAATATATGTATAAAAGCATTCCCCCAACTCAACCCCAGCCTATTTATTCCCGATTCCATTTGTGAACTACAAGATACAAGGTAACGTGAATAGCTTATAGAGACGGGAAATTGAATTTTTCCTCGTGGTTGATTAGGAGTACAACGATTGACAGGACAGCAAACGATTAGAGAGATGAATTAACTAGAGAAAAGTAAGCCTATGTAAAGAAAAGTAAATAATTGTTCTAGTGTATTAATTTATCGAGAAACACACTTTCAGGGAAGCGCGGAAGCACTATAGGACGACGCGCAGAAAATGAGGTGAAGCCGTTGCAATAGAAACCCAGGTAGATACGCGAGCAGTGACAAGTTAGGCAGTTGTCCCGCATTGCATTCAAGGGGGTTAAATACGCAATCTTGAAGACGATATAGAGTTGTTATTAAGACTTTCACATCGTGCCAAGGGAGAATAATTGAATTCGACCCACATATACAGCAATATATGTCGATACTAATATACTTG